CTAATGGAAAATAAGGGTCATTTTAGTAAGATTTGTTTGCAGACCCATCTCAGTACTGGCTCTGTCATTTGGCCATCAGATTCCCCAGGAGCAGGGAGGCATCACAGCCCCCACTTCTCAGAGAGTCTGCTTTTAGTCAGAAAAGCAAACTTAGAGAAGGCTACTTTCTCTATCTGTTGATACTCATTTGCCTCCAGTTCAAAACCGTCCTTATGACAAAGTGGCATCTTTTGGGGTGGTACATTCTGACCCCCGATAATATATTTTACAAATTTGGGTCTTTACAATTTTGTTTATGGTATTTTTGATGCATAGAATTTTTAAATAATTAACATGAATAATAAGTAGTAACAAATTGTTATAAAATCTATCAGTATTTTCTTAGGTAGTTTTTTCACCTTAGTTTTTATCCCTAGAGATTCCAGCTCCACTTCAGAATTGGATAAGTAATGTTTCCTTCTAATGTTTTTATATTCTTTTTCTTTTGTTCTGTTTTTATGTTCTTATTTTTACATTTTACTTTATCATAGTATTCATTATTGCTGAACATCAGCTTGTTTTCCTTATCTCCCATTTATTTTCCATCTTCATTAGAAATTTCATTAGTTTCCTTGATAAATATTTCTCTACTCTGGCAAGTCAAGCAATTAGATTATTCCTTTGAAAAATCACATAAGTTATATTTCTTTTAGCGCATCCTTAAAAATATATAGAGAAAAATCTACCAAATTTTCTGTAATCTCTGCCTTTTAAAATTTTTTAATGGAACACATGAAACTAAAATTGAGAACACTTTTAGGGTCAATTTTCTCAATATTTAGTCATGGCTCACTAGCCTCACGAGGCATCACCATAGACCATCCCTGGAACAATGGCAAAGAAAGCAAGCCTATGATTATGAAATGGGGCCATGACTTTGACGCTTTTATGATCTTGCTAGAACACTGGTGAAGTGTTAATGTGCCTAATTAAAGGATTGTTTTCATTGTTCTGTAGGGAATGTACTAGAGGAAGGCTAGAGTTAATGCATAGAGACTCTTGTATTAGTTCAGGAAGGGACGGACGATGGTTATGTTCTGTAAACCCCACCCCAAGAAAATTTAATCAGGGAATAGGGTTCAGTTTGCAGATACAGAAACCACACTAGGTATTGAAAGGACTGAATACAGGGAAATAGTGCTCACTAAACTGTAGGAGCAGCTGAAGGCTGGGCCTCCAGAAGGATTCTCAGGCAGCTCCTTACACAGTCCTGCCCAGGGAACTGAGTCACAGTGAGGAGGCTGAGGAATCGGGGATCACTGTTTAACCTCTGGCTCCAAGGTCCCACCTTAGCTACCTCCAGACCAAGTCCTCCTGCTGGAACTGACCAGCAGAATGGATAGCCCACTTATTTTCCACTTCACATGCTTCCTAATTCAAATCATCCCAAAATTAGAACTAGGTTGTGCACTGAAAGTTACTTTGCGCAATGCAGCAGATTGGCAGAACTTAAATCACATTTGAAACCTTAGCAGTAAGGGGGTCTGGAAGTGTTGTTTTGTTTAGCCTCCCAGCCCCACACCTGGAGGATGGCGAGGGAGCCCCTCCCCTGTTCCCACAAGCAGCTTATCCTGGTGGAGCTGGTGTGTGAGGGAGAGGTGCAGGATGTGTGTAAAAGGGAGTCCCTGGAAGTGGTGGCTGATTGATGTTGGGGGCTGAGAAGAGGGAGGTGACAAAGGTAATGTCAGAGAGAAAATCCATCGCATTAAGTCCTGGTGTTGCATGTTTTAGATTTTTTAAAGCCCCTTAGTCTTTGCTTAGTGAAATCAGTTGCCATAGTGGAGCAAACAAATTTCAAGAGCAAGGTGATCTCAAAGCTTCCTCATACTTCTGAGGTTCCTTTGAAGATACTATGTTTGCATATATTTTCTTTTCCCAGTACATTTTTGTAAGTACAGAAGTAGAAGTCAAACATTCGATGTTGCCTCAATGGTGCCAACAGCCCCCCCCCCTCCCAGTTTGTGGAATGTGCCTCTTGGTAGCCCTGCAGGCTTTAAGGGTGTTGTGATGGGCAGGGCCCCAGGCATGAGAAACCTCGTCTTGAGGAACCTGCTGGGCCTGGAGTCAGTTTGCTTATTGACTCAGAGATGCCAGTCTACTTTTGTGCCTAACTGAAGGGGTTAATGCACCAGATGGCTGCTTGTGCCCAGATTCCCTGGCCCCTCCCCCAGGCTGAGAAAGGTGGAGGGGGAAAGAAAGTCTTCTTTCCCTACTGGCTATGGAAGTGGTTCTGTCTCTCTCGTTTCTTTTTCCACTCCAGTGTTGTTAATTGATAGAGGTGCATTGGGGAGGCCAGTGAATGTCTGATTTGGTAGCAACTAAACTGGGTCTTGGCTGCCCAAGGCCAGCCAGGTAGAGTTATTATTTATGTGGCTGAGTTTACTACAGTATTGGCAATTTCCCCTACCCATGGATGCTTTTATAAAATCTAATACAAGTGTAATGTGCTCCTTTGTATCTATCAATTAACCTCATGTAAACTCTTCAGTGGGAAGTCTGGGTGGAGACCTGAGCCAGTGATTCTCTGCCACCAAGCCAGCAGCTGGTTTCCTCCTCAGCAGCAACCTGGGACCAGGTGTGCCCCTCTCTTGCCAAGGATGTGCCAAGGTGAAGCACAGGCAGGTGTGGTGTGATTGGGATATTATGATTACAGGTATTACAGCACCTCCTCTCCCAGGTTAGCCAGCCATGCTTATAAGTGTAACTCCTACTCTTGAAGTCGATGACTTGTGGGGCAGCGAGGAGAGAAAGCAACTCAAAGACGGCCTCAGTGTGTAAATCCAGCTGGGGAAACAGACTGTACACACACTGTTAGTTATGAGCTATAACTCACAATGTGGGGAGAGTCTGCATTCCTGAAGTTAGAGATAGGTTGCACCTTGAAAGGTGTTTATCATTAAAGATCTATTTTCTCCTAGAAACAAAACATAAGTGAATGTTGGTTTTCCAGGTCTGCCATCAAAAGCACACTTAATTTGTCATCTAGTTTTACATTCCTGCATTTGCAGTATAAAACAATAGCCAATGCTACTGTGCAGGGTTCATCCAGTGTCTGGCTGCACGCTGCTCCTGAATCTCAGCCCAGGACTGCAAAGCTGTCGTTGGCTTCAGAGCGGCGGGGAAATGGCAGGTCCGCAGGCCAGTGCTTAGACTTGAGCCTGCGTCAGAATCACCTGGGAGGGCCCTTTAAACTACGTCTGCCAATTACTTCACTCTGGAAGTTCTCATTCAGGGGTCTGGGGTGGGGCTCAAGAATTTGCATCTCTGACTCATTCCCAAGTACTGCTGGTCTCTGGACCACCTTTGAGGACCACTGGGATAGACATAGGAGGAAGTTATCCATCTGAAGAAGTCCTGTATATGAGTTCTTAATGATAAGATTCTATGCGAACAGCAGTGCCCACTCCCCAGACACATGAGAAAACCTAAAAGGCAATAGAGCCCAATCATCCTGTCGATAAGGCTCTTTGTTGCTGGTCTGTGTCTGCATTCCCTTTCTTCCTGAGCCTGGTGTTGGCCGTCACTCTGGAACCTGATGACTAGAGGAGTTAGTCACTCTCCCAAGGTCTCTGGAAAGTTGGACACACCTTGCAGGCATCAGAAAGCAAACATGTGTCCCAAGGAGTCCAAGCAAAATGTGACAGGCAGCTGCCTTCCTGCGTTGTCTGGGCCAGGTGCCTTTCTCTGTAGAGTCTGATGCTGAAGTTCAGCTTTTCCTGAAGCCCATTGAAGCCGAGACCCACACCTAAAGACTCCTGGGCTTTCCAGAAATTGACCTGGACTTACAGTGCCCTTTAAGGGTCCCCCACATTATACTCTGGGTCTCATGATGGACAGACAAGGGGGAGATATCAAAGAAGGCAGAGTGAAGATAAGATCTCAGCCCAGCCTTCCACATAGCCCACGCCACCCCACAAATCCTGCTTCTGCTTCTAGAACTCCTTCTGCTGACATTCCCTACTCCCTCAACCCATTCTGCATCTCTCCACCTTCTTTCTCCACTCCCCCGTCCACTGACTGGAGTGATGTCTCCCAGAACTGGGAGCTTTAGCCACTTCTTTCCACAAGACAAAGAGCATCTGTACCACTGCGGGTGACCCAGGTGGGGACTGCCGTCTTCTTGGTGCCACCAGCAGAAACTCCCTTCGTTTGCCCCTTTGAGCCCAGACTGCGTCCTCACATGTGCTCCCCTGGGACACGCGTCACTTTGAGGGAATAAACATGGGTTTCTCTCCTGCATCTGCAAAAGGAAAAAAGACAAATTAGAGGGTTATTTTGTTTATTAAATAATAAAACTTAATTGCAAAAATAGTCTAAATGTTATATTTACTAATTGATCAGCTCTCTCTCCAAGTGGAGCAGATAGCTTTAGGGTGGAATATGGGGGAAAAGGGACATTTACAAGGAAAATAATACGAATACTTAGTTAAAATTGATGTTTCAACATTTGCTTTTAACCCTCTTTATTTTTAAGACTACTTAGGAAGTTTGCGAAGTTTTGGGGGCTGGAAACACAAAAATTGCTTTTAATTTTTTTATGTCATTATGATACCTGGCATAAAAAGTTGGCAGGGCCTTCCCATCTGCTGGGCCGTGTGACAGCTCGCTGGTGCTGGTGGCCAGGAACGCCGGACTCCTTGGCTGCTCCCTGTCCCTCAGCTTACCTTCCCGAGGTAGCTAGGACAGAAGACACACACATGCCCAGATTTCATGGAAGTAGTTCCTGCAGACCTTTATAATATGTCTCAGACTAAAACGTCACACTGCCGTCTGTAGGCAAATTATATTTCTTGTTGTTAGATTTTCAAAAACATTGAAGAGCCTCTTAATGGTATATGTGACATGGCATTGTAAAGGGTGTCTTGGTCCTTACTGCAGGTATTGTTTTGCCCTTATGATTAACTATGTCTGGCATCTGTGTATGTTTCTCTCTGATTTATTTTCTATTTGCCCCTCTCTAGTGGGATCTTGTGTGTGATAATGCCTGGAAGGTCCATATCGCTAAGTTCTCCTTACTGGTTGGATTAATCTTTGGCTACCTAATAACTGGATGCATTGCTGACTGGTGAGTACCAACGTGCCTGCGCGCGGCCCTTCGGAAGCCACTGCAAGACTTTGCTGGCTAAAAAGGAGTGGTCAGTGTTAGTGCTGTTGCTGAGTCTTTTCTCTGCCCTGGTGTTGGGGCCAGAACAAAAGGCTGAAGCTGTCACCTGGAGAATTCAGAACTAAAAGAATTGGCCAGTGCACATAACAGACCCTTTTGAAGTGAGAATTTAAATTCATTGCAATTCTTTAGCTGCTAGGATCTAGCAAAACCAGGCAGCAGCCTACAGCCCTATCTCCTACTGACAGTCAGTGTTTAGTTAGGTTAGGAAGAGCCTGAGGATACAGATTCAGGGCTTTCTGGGCTGAGCCCCAATGAGTTGGATGTACAAGATGCATGAAAAAATGGGGAAAGGAGGACCTAGTGAACTTAACAGGTAGCACCTCAAACTGTTCCACAGGTTTTAGAGAGGGACAGTCCCTGAAGTTGGCTTGGTCAGGAGATGCCTCTGTAGTGTCCATGGGGAGCTGGACCTGGAAAAGCAGACAGCATTTGGATAACTGGGGGGCATTGTAGGCAGAGGCAGGATAGTGACCAGGTGAGGTGGGTGAGAGGTCTAAGAGTCTGCAGAAAAGTATGTGGTTCAGAAGGAAGTGATGAGGTTGGTAAGGTGGGGAGGGGGAGGTGGTAACAGAGATGCTAGTGATAATAATAACAGCAACAATATTGGCAGCTGACAGTTATTGACTGATTACAGTTGCTAGGCACTGTGCTAAATATTTCCATACATGAAAACATGCCATCCTCATAGCACCCTGTTAGGTAGGTACTATTATTACCTCTGTCTTACAGTGGGAAAACAGGGGCACAAAAGTTGAAGTAAAATCCCCAAGTTCACTCGGCCAGGATTAAGCCCCGTGGGGCAGAGCCTGCCTCTTCACAAGGGTGCCGCCACACTTTCATCTGAGGCCTTCTGCGGTCACAAGGGCAGCAGTGGTGACACGGCTGAGCAGGGAGGCAGTTGCCCAATATTGGCAGGTTTTCAAGTAATGAGACTGCTCAAGGAGAGATATTTGGGCTAGCTGTTCCCCTCGACATCCTTTTACTTTAAAGGAACTTTTGTGTGTGAATAAGGGCATCTCCGACCAATGACATAATAAGGGCCAAGAATGAAACGAGCAAACCCCTTATGCCTGTGCTTCGCCCCGCGGTGCCCTGTGCCTGGTTAGCCCAGAAGGCTGGCTGAGGCAGCAGCCGGGGGCCACAGAGCGCAGGTGGAGCCCAGAGGAATTTGAGTACCACTTTGAAGTTCTGGGAAGTTCTTTCCAAAAGCTAGCATCTATTTGGGAGTTCCTTGTATTAACCTCTGTGTGATTTCCTGTGTGCTCAGAATTTGCTTACTCATCATTTGTAAACGTTTCTAAGGACACGTTCCCGGGACGGTAACAGAGAAGCTGTGAACCGCCTCTGGGAAGCTGTGCCAGGACCTCTGGGAAATTTTTCTGGGGGACTGGCAGGGTGGGGGCAAGTGCAGGGTTTTTGTTTTGTTTTGTTTTTTAACCAAATGCTTGAGCTTAAAGGTTTTCAGAGTAAGCTTTATAAAAGATACTCTAATCCCAGTATTTTAACCACGAGGGCTTTTGTTTCCCAGAAATCAGCACTGAAATAGGTTAGGAAGATGTACTAATATAATTCACATCACTTCTTTCTGAGGAAAAGCAGACTTGACTTGGGTTGTAGTGTCCTTGTTCAGTGAGTTTACAGGGAAATCAAAGATGGACTTGTATTACTGTAGTCGGCAATGGGGTTTAAATTGTTAGGAGGTTGTTTTGTGAATTCCTGCTTCTTACACATACATGTTGTTTGGCCTCCCTGATCACACACCAGGCCTGGGGACAGAAAGCAGAAGAGTTCGGGGTCCTCCTTCACAAGTAACCGGAGTTACAGACCCACTTCCCTGCCGTTGCTTGGCCGAGGCCCGTGGTGGGCGGGCGTGGGTGCCGGAGTCCGGCTGGAATGCACTGTGCTGTGGCTCTTTGGACATTTTGAGTGGGCCTCAGTTCCAGTGTGAAAGCTTGGTGTTTTCTGCCCTTGTTCATTTGTGTTTGGCACTGGACTCCCTGCTAGAGCCTCGTTGAGGAGGACGTGGACATATTTGGAGGGAACTGCAGATTCATAGCTGCTGGCACCATGCCACGCGTGTAGGGAAGTGGTTCAAGTCAGGGGTAAGCTTTCGAAGACTGCAGTCAGCCTGTAGTAAACCGTCAAGTGGTACACTTTGTCTTCTAAGAAGTCGCTGTTCTGCACACACACTTTAGGGACGTGTATTCCATGTTGTTAATGTGATGTGTTAGTGCACATGTGTGAGGGAATGGCCCTGGCAGTGGCTTGTGCCAGATGCCCCTCCCCTCCATGGCTCATTCTTCTGCTGGATGTTCCTCACTCCAAGGACCCTGCATGCCCTTTTGGGCTGCACTAGAGGCCTCCCTTGCCCCCTAGCTCCTGGCTCAGCCCAGCAGATGGGCCAGGGAGCACCACCTGGAGATCTGAGGGACAGAGGAGGGTGAGGTGAGGACATTTTAATCCCCAGCTTGGTCTCTGCAGGGTTGCCAAGGCTGCACACAGAGCCTCCTTTGGGTCCCATGACCATCCTTCCTCAACCCCCTGCTGTGAATAGCCCCAGGTTTCCCTCACAGATTGCCCACCGTTCTGTACAAATCCCTGTATTAAAATCACCTCAAATTTCTTCATTTGAGCGAGACATCTGTTTCCTGCTAAGTCCCTGTATTATTTCTCTGCAGCTGCCATTACAAATTATACACATTTGGTGGTTCTGTCATCCACACTGGCTACAATCAAGGTGCTGACAGGGTTGTCATACTTTCTGTGGCTCTAGGAGAGAATCCATATCCTTGCTTTTTCCAGCTTCTAAAGGCTGCCCACATTCCTTGGCTCGGGGCCCCTCTTCCAATTTTAAAGCCAACAAAGCTCAGTCATATCCTTCTCACACGGCCATCTCTCTGGTTCCCTGCAGCCCAGAGAGGGTGTCCATGTACTTAGATTGGACCCACCTGGATAATCACCTCATCTCAAGGTCCTTTACCTTCATCACATCTGCATAGACCCTTTGCCAGGAAAGGTACCATATTCATAGGTTCTGATGTCTAGGATGTGGACATCCTTGAGGGCCATTGTTCTACCCACCACAGAGCCTAACTGGTAAAGCCCTCTGGTTACTGATTTAGGGGTGTGATTTTATACTTCATCTCTGACAGGGTTCTGCTCTTGGGGAAAGCCAGTTCACCCTGAAACTCCAGTGGGTATGACTGACACTTGTTGACCATTTGCTAAGTCACTTGCACTCATCTACTCCTACCAAGAAGCCTATTAGGTTGGCACTGGCCGGCTATTCCTAAAGCAAACATGAGGCACATTTGGACAAGTGCGGTCTTTCTCGTGACCATGTATGTAATTTGTAAGTGGTGAGCCTGGATTCAAGACCAAAGCGCTCTAACTTTGCAGACCGTCTTTGCCCCAAAGTTCCTAATAAATTTTTACTCGCTGATTTTAGCAATCATGTGGGAGGAAGAGATTTGGAATAGTTTGTACAAGTAAATAAAAAAATTAAAAATCTTTTCTGAAGAATCAGAATAGGGCAAACCATGCTGGGTGGGCATCAAGGCTGTAGACACACTGGAAGGAGTCGTAAGAGCTGCAGCATTGAACTGTTTGCTTCGTGCCAAGCTCTGTGCTTATGTCCATCATCTCTCTTAAAGGTTTTAATGTGCTGTGAAGTAGGACAATTACCCTGGTTTACAGAGGGTTTCTCCCATTTAAGGACATAAAGGGAAATAAAAATTGATAAGTTAGATTTTTGTTTTCCTTCATTTCAGGAGACCAGCTAAGCCATATTTTAAATTTATTTCTATAAATTTGTTGAGTCTGGACAAAATTATCTATAGTGTTTCCTGATAAGGTCTTAGCGACCCCAGCACCAGTGAAGGGAAGTAATGGCCAAAATCTCCCAACAGGATTATTGACTTATATTAGGATTGATCTCATAGCTTGGTCTCATTTCACTAAACTAAAGTGACTATGGGAAATATTAGAATCCTAAAAAAGTCTGAATGAAATTGTGTCCTATAGTCCCTGTCCCATTTCCCACCCCCCACCGCCAAATTTTCTGGAAATTACATTTATCTTCTTCATAGAGCAAAGAAATTGTTACTGAACACTACTGCTTTTTTAAAAAAACAACATTATTATTATATTTTTCTTTATTGATTTTAGAGAGAGAGGAAGTGAGAGGGAGAGAAAGAAAAAAAAACATTGATGAGAGAGAATATTGACTAGCTACCTCCCGCATGCCCCCCACTGGGGTCAGGCCCCCAACCTGGGTATGTATCCTGACCAGGAATGGAACCAGCGACCTCATGGTGCATGGGTCATTGCTCAACCACTGAGCCAAACCGGCCAGACTTTAACAGTTTTATTGAAAGATAATTTACATATCATAAAGCTCACCCATTTTAAGTGCACAATGAGTTTTATTACATTTACAGAATTATATGGTCATCACCCCACTCTAAGATTAAAACATTCCCATCACCCTAAAAGGAAGTCTCGTGCCCATCTACATTCACCTCTCATTCTCACCCCTGCCCTGGGCAACCACGAATCAACTTTCTCTTTCTTTCTATTTGCCTTTTCTGGGCATTTTGCTTTTGTGTAGATGCCTTGTTATAAGGATATCTAAGCAAATTCAAGGCATTCAGCGACCCTTCAGGTGTTTGGGCTGCCAGGCGTGGATTTTCTTCCTTTGACAAATAGAATTTCTCTCCAGTTTCTCTGTGAGTTCTTCTAGTTCAAGCTGATTATGTTATTTTAATTTGTATGATTCTTCCCCCCACCCATAAGTTGATGACGGAAAATCTGGAAGGTTAGGAAGAGAAGGATGAAGAACCAGTTACTTTCCATTCCCATGGACCACGCCTGCAGACCTCTCAGCCATACCTAGAAGCATATCACACCCTGGTGGGAGCTGATCTTGCCTGGCTCTGTAATCTGCCAACCCAGTGTGTGTGCTGCTTTCCCCAGAAACACAGTGGACTGGGCTCCTTCCAATCCCTTGCTGCCTGGTGGGCTGCACTTTCAGGTTCACACCCATTATTTAAAGTTTGAACTATCTTAGTTTAGTTTTAAAATTACTTCTCATCATATATTTGAAACAAACTAGCAGCTGGCTTGGCCCTGGCTCTGAAAGGCTGTGTGTGAGGCCAGGTGCCTGACTGGTTACCAGCCTTACAAAGGAAATGAAGCAGCTTCCCTCACTGCCTGTGTTGACTTTGGGGCCAGTTCCAAAGGTCAGTGATTTCTCAAGACATTTTATGCTGGGTGTGTCAAGGTTTACGTTTGGGGAGTTGTTATTGATTTTGTTACTTTTGCCTTGAATTATCCTCCTATATACTCAAAAATAGATTTACCAACAGGAATTGGGTTCCTGTTTCAATTCTATTATGCAATAGCTGTTTAATCTGTGTTCCTTTATCTACAACATGAGGAGGTTGGGCTACATTTCCCCTGAGGACCTTTCTGTCCCTAGATATACCAAAGTGGGTCTGGATAGAAGGAAGACTTCCAGTCCAGCCCTCATTCAGCATCTGTTGAGCACCTGCTGGATTCTGGGTTTTAGCGTCTGGTATCACAACCCTGTGTAATGGTGACTCCTACCATTTTCCTCTCTATGCAGGGTCGGCCGGAGGCCTGTGCTGCTGTGTTCCATCATCTTCATCCTGATCTTTGGCCTGACCGTGGCACTGTCCGTGAACGTGACGATGTTCAGCACACTCAGGTTCTTTGAAGGGTTCTGCCTGGCTGGAATAATTCTCACCTTGTATGCATTACGTAAGTAGGAGCCTTCACAACTAGTCTTGAAGAAATTAGCGAAAGTATTGCTGGCACCTGCGAGGTTCTGGGAAGGGGGCTTTGTGTGCTAGAGGTTTGGGATGGCAGTCTTTTGGAAGCACGGACTTAAACAGCCTCGAGTGTTGTGAAAAAGCTTTCTCAGGTAATGTCATCCAACACCCAGTCTGTCCTGATCTCCAGCTTGGGCTCAGGGCACATCAAAGGGTGGCATAACTGCGTGAAGAAGCAGGGATCAGCCCACAGCTGAGATGGAGGGGCTTTTGCTTTCCCCCAGAATTTTTTGTGTTAATGGTCTGTGTATATTCAAGTCTAGCACATAATTAGGTATCCCTAATGTACCTACTTGGTTCCAGAGAAGCATACCAACTACCTGCTACTATCTGTTCTGGGCTCAGTGTTTTGAAGAGTTTTTCTTCTAGTCCTGGCTCAGTTGGTTAGAGTGTCGTCCCAATATGCCGAAGTTACAGGTTCAGTCCTTGGTCAGGGCGCATGAGGGAAGCAACCAATGAATGCATAAGTAAGTGAAACAACAAGTTGATGTTTCTCTCTCTTTCATCCCCTTCCTCTCTCTCTGTCTCTCTTTAAATAAATAAATAAACAAGAATTTTTCTTTTTTTTTCTGTAAGACTATGCAGAGTCCAAATTGTTCACATTCTCATGTGCTTAGATGTGGCCTTAAGTGGTCTGGACTTGAACCCTATGCATTGGTACTGGAAGAATAAATGGCATTATTTGTTAGTGTTTGATCTTTTTAGGGTGAAGAAAAGTTTCCTCCATTAATTTATCATGTTTGTTGGTTATATTAATGCCCCCATCTAGTCTGGCTATGTTTCACTTATAGTTGGTATTTTCTGGAACACAGCCCCAAAACCATAAGAAGAAGAAAGGTTTTGGGCATGCATGATTTTACTTATTTTCTAGTTTTATGCTTTATAGTCACACAGTGGAAAGAACTGTTAGGAGTAACGTAAGATGATTTATAATATGTTTTGTCTTTTTCTTTCCCTTTGACAACATGGGTGGGTGTCAGTGATAGATTAGCGATTTCTAGTGAGGTCGAACTATAATAGTTCTGCTTCACTTAAGTGTGCTTATTAAAAACTTGTTAACATTTTTAGGTAACCTGAATTTTTGTTCCTCTATTATATAGAATAGAAGTATAATCAGTTTGTAACATAGTTAAGAGTCACAAAGAAGAAATGGGCGTAGAGAAAGGCTGTGGCTATACTCCATAAACCCAGTCAGCAGCTTTCTTACCCTCCCCCAGCATCGAACGGTTTCCAGTTCATTTGCATTGATTTTGGAACCTTGTTTCTTAGAGTGGTTCTTTAGGAGTATATATGTTCAAGATCAGTGGTTTGAGGTCATGGCTCTCTGGAGGTTTTGTTTCCTTGAACAACAACATAAGTATTGGGCTTGAACATTTTCAGGTAAAATGCCTGTGCCATTCTTTGGCCCTGCCCACCCATCGGTCTGTGCAGAGAAGCAGCTTCCCCACCCTTTTTGGGGGAGACTCCAGGCCCCACTTTCAGTCACTGTCTTGCCCTGCATGTGCGATGGGCTCTTCTCTTAGGCAGCCGTCCTTGTGAGGCTCCTGGTTCTCACAGGAGGATGTCAATCCAGCGCTTCCTTGAAGATGGCCATTAAAGGGGACAGCTGTACATATTGACAGACCAGAATAGCCATGCTTCAGAAACTTAGCAAAGAGCATAACCTCAGCCTCACCACATGAGTACTTTCAGACTTAGTGGAGAGAATGTTAATGGAAAATTGCCTTAAAGCAAAGATCACATATTGGTTTTATCTTGCATGCCAACTGCTAATGATTGCTTGAGGCTGCCAGAGAACTCAGAGAAGACTTCAGAGAACACCTTGGTCCATTGGCCATGTCTGCCTGGGATAAGGAAGGAGGGAGGGAAGGGTTGCGTGGAGCTGATACTCATTATCTGCACAGATCCTCCCCGAATGAAGCCAGACCAGGAGAGAATCCCCCTTGAACTGCACCGCCTCAGCCTCACGTAGAATCACTTTCCTGACTTGTGTTGTGATGTCATTGCCACTGGCTCTGAAACCTATTGCTATATTTACTGTAAAAATGAAGCTAAGGGTGTTTTTTCAGGAGATTACATAGCAAGTTCTTTATATTAAGAGGTTCTCTTTTATTTCAGACCTTGGAAACTACTGTGCCTTTATCCCATAGGCACAGAATCATGTTAACTCAGGCCTCTGAAAACACTTTTCTGTAAAAGGCCAGGTAGTAACTATTTTAGGCTTTGCTGGTCTCTGTCACAAGTACTCAACTTGGCCACTGTACCATGAATGAAGCCATAAATAACATGTAAGTGATTAGATGTGGCTGTGTCCCAATAAAACTTTATTTGCAGAAACAGTTGGTGGACTGGATTTGACCAGCAGGCTCTAGTATTTCAGCCACTGATGTGAGTGAGTTTCGCTCTTTCCGTTGACCACTAGGAAGCTTAGGAAGCTTGGAGTCTGATCTCGCATGTGTGTGGGCCCGTCAAGCCGAGCTTGAAATCAGGCCTCTCTCCTAATCTCATCTGAACTTTCCGACTTTAATTTCTCCTTTGTCCCATTTCCTGCCTTCATAATATGAGTGTTATCTTATTGTATGTATTTGTATAAGCAACCTTGAATTTTTTTCTGAAATAAAGCAAGGTATAATACATAATTATATTTTCTTAGGTTGGAATTACAAATGAGATGTCATGACAGACACCATTGCAATGAAAAATTCCAAGTATCAACCAGTGGCCCACTGTCTGAGCTAATAAAGTGTCTGATATAGCAAAATTAAAATAAAGCAAAAGGACATAAATGATTACTTGGAGTTCATTGAGATAATATTTAAACAATGTAAATAAGGGGTCACTGATTGCAAGGGAGAATCAAAAAGAGGACATAAAGTTGTCATGGGCAGACAGGATTAGGGGGGACATGGTGTGTGCTGGACTAGGGCAGCCCATCGCTCTTGTCATTGCTAGATCAGGACGCTGGCTGGTGGCAAGAAGTTAAGAAACAAGCTCCTGGTGCAGATGACCGAATTTCCAAATCAGTGTGGTTGCTAGCATTTTCTACACAAACAATATATGTGCTTGGTTAATGCTTAAAACTTTGTTTGGTTTAAAGAAAATTATTTATCATTTCTGTCACAAGGTTGAAGTTTTTCTGACTCTAAAGAAAAGTTTTAAACTTTTGGGCATTGATTATTTGGAAAATACATTTTTTGATGGTCCGAACTTTTCCTACCCTTTCACCATACACTTTTCATCTTACTTAGTGTTTGTGCTGAAAAGGCCTGTATTTTCTCAAAGAGAACTGGATGTCATCCTGTTTTTAGTCTTGCAGGTGCTTGGCAATATAAGTAGGGAAAGTAATGATTTTTGCAGATTTTGTTTCTTGTGTAGCTTGCCATATGGGTGGACTCTGGGTTTTGAGAAATGCTGCTGACTTGGGAAAGTTTTCTGCTTTATACACAAGGCTCCTTGAGATTTTTTCATGCTTTGAAATTGTTCTAAGGTACATTTCAATTAAATACTCTCTCCTTTAAACTTTTGTTTCCTTCAAGTCAATACAGGGACATATGGTTGTATGATTAGGACATAAAGTAGAAATTATTGGCATCTTCCCCAAGAGTCTACATGGAAGCAGAGTGCACACTGGAGAGAGCAGGAGAGAACAAGGGAAGCGGAGAGGGTGTGCGCAGGGCTGTAGTCATGTTTCCCGTGTGCGCAGGGCTGTAGTCATGTTTCCCGTGTGCACAGGGCTGTAGTCATGTTTCCCGTGTACGCAGGGCTGTAGTCATGTTTCCCGTGTGCGCAGGGCTGTAGTCATGTTTCCCGTGTGCGCAGGGCTGTAGTCATGTTTCCCGTGTGCGCAGGGCTGTAGTCATGTTTCCCGTGTGCGCAGGGCTGTAGTCATGTTTCCCGTGTGCACAGGGCTGTAGTCATGTTTCCCGTGTGCGCAGGGCTGTAGTCATGTTTCCCATGTGCACAGGGCTGTAGTCATGTTTCCCGTCTGCCCCGGAGGCCACCCAGAAACTCTAAATTAGTTAAATGCTCTTGGGCTATATCAGTAGCTTAATTGTATTCCTTTACCTCTGAACCAAAAAAAAGGGGGGGGTAGAAAATCTTAGTTGGGCAAGGGGCAGGTAACTACAGACCATGAAAAGAAGAACTGATCACATTTCCTAGTTTTATTTTGTTTTTTAAATACAGTCTTATCAAAAACTAAAGAAAGAGTCACTTTTCAATATAGGCAGACATGATTTGTTGTGGTATGAATTCTTTCTCCATCTAGGATCATAACATTGTAAGATCTGTCTTCCTTCAACAGAGGCCAATGGGAGATTGTTGCTTTTTAATTTGATTTGATGTTGGATAGAATAAGTCTTGCAAGAGAGAAATATTTTTAAAAATATAAATACTTTTAGTTTTTTTTCTCATTTGATCTATGTCTTCCCCCTCTCCACCGTTAACACACACCCCATTTGAAATAATGAGCACTACTTTTTGCTGGCAGAGACTGTACCTTAGTAACTGTGGGCAAATGAACATCTTTGTTTTGTTTTTTTACCTAATAATAAATAATTTTCTTGAAAAATTCTCTTAAAGCTTTATGTTCTCATTATAATAACCCTCCTTATACCCAGATAGCTTAAATAATTGGATGAATTTTATATATAGTCAAGGAGTGACCATAACTTTCACAAGTGACTAAGTTAGTGATTACTTTACAAAATTAGAAGCCAAGTCTTAACTGGTAAATAGACTCAGAAAACATGCGTTTGCTCTGGGTGGGGCGATGTTCTCATTCTCCGTTGCACTCATAGTTTTAGACTCTCACTGAAGTGGTTGAGTAATTTCTAATGTGCTGGGGTAAGACAACTTTCTTCCTCACAATTGCATATATTTATATGATTTGATGTTCTTCTGAACTAATATTCCTTGGAACATATTTTA